AACCAGAAGCCCGATCTTTGGCGTAATTCCCCTCCTCCTAACAGCCACCCCACGGTGCTGCCGTGGTAGTGGGCAATGAGAACACCGAGAATTAAGGAAAGCACCTTCTGCCTTTGAGAAGCTTTCAGTCTAGGAGAGGGGCCAGCAGGTGAAACCATGAGCAGATGATCCTCAACAGCATGCTTAGGAGAAAAAGCAAAGACATTCATGCCACACCGGCCATCTCCTGGTTCCATATCCTGAAAAGGCCCCACCTCTCACCATCTGCCGGACAAGTCACCTAACCTCCTGAAGCCCTGATTTCCACATCTGTAAGACTACCTCTTAGGGCTGCTGTGAAGGCATGTAGTGTACAGCCCGGCACATAGTAGGAATGGAAGCAAAAAGAAACCCAAGTCCTGTGGGCACCCTGTCATTCGCGATGTGGATTTATATCTGTTTCCCCTTCAGTCCTCATAAGAGCCTTCCAAGATAACCAGGGAAGATACTGAATAAATATTCATTAAGTAAACAGCTGCCTGGGTGCATCAATAATAAAACTCAAAGCATAGAGCACTTACGATATTCCGAGCACTTTACCAGTTTGATGCAACTTATATAACACATACATTATCCTTGCACGACAGCTCTATGAGCCGAGTGCTATGATCATCCTCATTTTACAGATAAGGAAACTGAAGTCGAGAAGATATTAAGTAACTTGTCTAAGGTCATATAGGTAGTATGTAACGTAACTGAGAATGAAGGCAGGTAAGCTGGCTCCAGAGTTTGGGCTCCTACCCAGAGCACTGTACTCACTCACTGACTGAATGATAAATGAATGAACAGAAGCCAGGTGAACCCCTATTTTGCTGATACTGAAGCTGAGGCTAACAGGACATAACTGGCTTGTCTGAGGTCACATAATTAGCTTAGTGGTAAAATGGCCATTACGTGGTGGGACTCCACTTCCCTGCCCCCTTTGAAGTTAGGTGCAGCCATGTACCTATAGCACTTCCTGATGAAGTTTCAAGAATTTGCCACATTTCTTAGAAGCACACATTGAAATGAAGCTTCTTTCTGCCTGCCTGGGTCACTGAGTGACTAAGATAAGCAGAGTCCACCTGCCTACCAATGATAGCATTAAGGAGAAATACATTTTTATTGTGTTGAGCCCCTGAGATTTGGGGAGTTTTGTTATCACAGCAGAACCTGGCTTTTTCTGACTGATAAAGGTAGAATTAAGAATGAGAGCTTGATTAAATATCTCATGCAACTCCTGTTGTATTACCTAACCCCAGTCAACAATGCACACTCAGGAATTTTACCTACCAGTCACTCCCCCGCCCCAAGCTGAACTAATCTCGGATTGAATGAACTGGATCATTTATGTCATGAGGGGAAGGAAGACAGCTGCAGAATTCCAGCTCCTGACAGAAGGCTCTAGACAGACACTGACAGCTTGGCTCTGCTGGTTTGACACACCAGATACCCCCTCCCCAAAGTGCTATCTTGTGTCAATTTTTCTTAGTGAATAGAATGTTGTAGAGACAGTGAGCTTTTCATAAAGCAACCCATAATTGTTGAGATTAGCAACAGTGTCTCCTAAAGCCAATGATGTAAAGTCAAGTTTAATGAACCAGATTTGAATTTGACTGACTTTTTTCAAAAGTTGTGAAGAGTTTTAATTAGTTACTTAACCAAATAGGTTTATCACTTTCTATTTGTAGATACATTAACAATGATATTGGCATAAAAAATACTAAACTAATTTCTCAAAAAATTTTTAATTGGTTAAATGAATCCAACTAGAATTTTTAAAAGCCAGTTTCTGTGTGTGGAGAGAATCCCTTATACTGAACTAATGAGAGGGGGTTATACAAAAGCGAAAGGATCAAGATTTTAAATACTGAATTATTTATATTTTTTAATAAAAAATGCTTGGTGACAAACACCAAAAAGCTAATATTGTCTAGGTCTAGATAAACTTTATATTTGTCCTTGTACTTTTCTGCATCCTCTAAATTTTATTTATAGACTTTATATTCTTCATATTTTTCAGTATCTTCTGAATTTTTGCATATACTAGTCTCATAATCAAATAGAGAGATCAAGCCTTGATATTTTTTAAGTTACGTAAAGTTATGTTTCCTTTCCTGAGACTATCTGGCTGTCTTTGGGGTGAATCTGAATGTTGCCGTGTCATCTGGTGCACAGACCCGGCACCTCACCATGCTGGGCCTGAGTGAGAGCCGGGAGCGCCCTGGGTACAGCCTCTCACTGCAAACATGAGAGCTGAGGATCGGAGCAGGGGTGTGCCCAGGGCCACACGGCCTGTGAGTGGTAAAACAGAACAAGGACTCTGCCCCAGGTCGTTTGATGCCAGAGTTCGTGAACTTTCCACTATTCCCCACTTTTGAGGAGCCCGCAAGCCTCTGTGGTTTTCACTGTTCACCAGGTGCTCCTCTGAAACGTAGGTAGACACCACTTCACTCCCCCTGTTCTGAGGCCATCTGCAGTGTACCTTAGAGTTCAAGAATTTTAAAATGCATTATCTCACTCGAACCCATAACAACCTGATGGACTACAAAGGACACTTAGCACTAACATCCAGTCCTGTTTTCCCCGCCCCTCTTTCTACATTAGCATGCTTCCTCACCTTTATATATTCAGGATGGAAACTATATGGCACCAATCATATCTTAGTGGCTCTTTTTCTTTTCTTTTCTTTTCTTTTCTTTTCTTTTCTTTTCTTTTCTTTTCTTTTCTAAATATATCTTTATTGATTTTAGAGAGAGGAAGGGAGAGGGAGAGATAGAAACATCAATGATGAGATAGTCATCGATCGGCTGCAGCCCACAACCCGGGCATGTGCCCTGACCGGGAATCGAACCCCGATCGCCTGGATCCTAGGTCGACGCTCAACTGCTGAGCCACGCCTGGCCGGGCGGGACTGCCTTTTCTTTCCAGCCTCCACTGTGCCATACCAGAATCCAGGATGTCTCATAACTGATAAAGCTAAATCTTTAACTCAGGCTTTTATACATCTATACCTATACCTATCTATCCATATATATATATATAATGTGTGTTTATGTGTACACATATATATATTTATATTTAATATGTACATATACATATTTTTAAATAATTCATCTCTTAGTTTGCTCCATTAGAAAAGCAGTCAAGACTCGGAGATCTTTGCTTTTCTTCACTAGCTTTGAAAGGCAAAGGTAAAGAAATGTGCACATTAAACAGGGGTAGAGGAAGTGGGCGGAAGGGGGCTTTTACATGCATCTGGTACCCTGATTCTTTTGTCTGCTATCTAGGGGATGCCTATTCACCTCCTGACCTGGAGATCAGGGCAACTTGCACTCCTGGTCCCATGGAACTGTAATAATCAGCATCACCCAGAAAGGAACTCATAACCCTATCTGGCCGCCTGATTTGAGGAACTGCTGCCAGGGTCTGGTGGCCACTGGGGCTTATGCTTGCTGGTGGGTCCCACAGGACTGTAACAAACAAAGAGTTCTTAGAAAGTAACAACCCCCTAGGGCACTTAAAGAGGCAGCAACCTAGGAGCTCAGCTTTCTGTAAAGGAGGCCTATTAACTAATCATCATGACTGTGGCCCGAGGGGCAGGCTTCTAACTGAACAGACGTTTCAGGGCTCAGTGTAATCCTTCCAGAGACTTGGAAGGCGGGTGCTGTCTTCACTCACCCTCTGTCACGCTCCAGAGCACTAGTGTCTCCTGGAAGGGAGCTTTTCAGGCATCTGGTGCCCTGGTTTTTCTGTCCAGTGCCCTAGTTTTTGTGACTGGTGCCCAGGGACGCCCCTTGATCATCTGGCTCTGGCAGCTGGGGTGGGACTTGCATTCCTGGGTCCCAGAGGACTGTGGCAACCCAGAGAGATGGTTCTTGGCAGGCTACCACGCCCAGGACACTGCACAGACTGCAGGCTGAGGCACACCCTCAAGTTTTTCTCTGAAGGAGGCCTCTTTGCTTGTCCTGGATCTTCGGCCCCAGGGGAAGGCTTCAGGCTTGGCACCCATTTAGTGGCCCATGGAGCAGCTCTGCAGGAATGCAGGCTGTGAATGTCATCTTGGTGCTCTCCCTCTGCCTTGCTCCAGCTTGCCAGTATCACTTAGAAAAGAGCTTATACATTTGTCTGAAGCCTCTATTTTTGTAACTGCCACCCCTGGGACACCTCCAGATCCCCTGGCTCTGGTGGCCAGGGGGCTCATGCTTGTGGTCCCACAGGAATGTATACATTACTTTTCAAAGCTGCTGCCAGAACGTCTGGCTTTCAATTAGCCTGAGTCTAGGTGCCGAGATTCTCCCCTTTGCAACACTGACAGGTCTTGGCACACCCTCCGCTATTGGAAGCTATTAAAAATATAATAGGCTGCATAAAAAAGCATAGAGGTTTGAAAGACAACTAAGAGCTGAGGCAGGATTGAATGGCAATTTCCTATACACAGTTACTCCTTCAAGACTGGGAGAGGTGGTTCTTTCATCTACAGTATAGAAAACCAACACAGAGAGTCAAGCAAAATGAAGAAACAAAGAAACATGCTCCAAATGAAAGAACAAAATAAAACTCCAAAGAAAAACTTGATGAGACAGAAATAAGTCATTTACCTGATAAAGAGTTCAAAGTTTGGTCATAAAGATGCTCACCAAACTGAGGATAAGAATAGATGAACACAGTAAGAACTTCAACAAAGAGATGAAAATTTTAATAAATTATCAAAGAGATGTCTCAGAGCTAAAGAATACAACTAAACTGAAAAATAGAGGGGTTCAAAAGCAAACTCGAAGCAGGAGAAAGAATGAGCCAACTTAAATACAAGTCAGTGGAACTCACCTAATCAGAGCAGCAAAAAGAAAAAGGAATGGAAAAGTGAAGATAGGTTAAGGGACTTATGGGACATTAAATGGACTAACCTTTGAATCATAGGGCTCCCAGAAGGAGAAGAGAGAAAGGGACAGAAATATTATTGGAAGAAATAATGGCTAAAGATGTCCCTATCCTGGGAAAGAATACAGATAGAAATTCAGATCCAGGAAGCCAAGAGATTTCCAAATAAGAATAACCCAAGGTACTGACACCAAGATACATTATAATGAAAATGTCAAAAGTTAAAGACAAGGGGAGAATATTGAAAGCAGCAAGAGAAAACCAACTCATTACATACAAGGAACCCCCCCCCCCAT